GACTAAACCTGCCCCTAGCGCGCGGCCATGATTCTAGCCTATAAAAGGTAACAGTCAAGGGGTTGTTGTGCTGCTCTCCCTAGCTTGCTGCTGCTTTCCCTGTCTTTGTGCAGAGCAGCCTTGTCGGGCTCCTGACAATAATCCAGAGTCTTATCCTAGGTGTGTGTGTGTGATCAATCCTGTGCCACTTCTCTTCTTTCAGTTTTGTTTTGCTTAGGTGAAACTATTTGTTGAAATAAAGTCATCAAGCCATGGTCACATACAGCATCAAGAAAATAATGAATCTGAAGGTGATAATGAATGACCTAAATCTGGTAATTTATTGATTGATGCGATATTCAAAGGTGCCTAGCAGGATTTCTAAAGACCTGGGTCTTTGCTCTGAGTGTTCTCAATGTGTCTTGGCAGAGTCAGACATGTTTGTTTAATCTATATGTTTTATTAAGGACACTGTGTGTCAGACAATGTTCTGGATATTTGGGATACAGCAGTGCAAAGATCTCAGTCCCGGAAGAGCTTCCATTCCCTCAAGGGTGATAATGGGAGAAGCATAATAACTTGTGGTTCATTTGTTGTGGTGAGTTGCCTAATCTCTGTCAATCGCATTGGGGGCACGAATACTCCCATGCCTCCTTCTTACCTCCTGTATTTTTATTCCCCACTCCAGCAAGGCCAAACAGGGGCATTAGGATTGAAGAGTCTTCGTCTGATCTGGTTCTGATGAAGTTACTTCACCACAAGGCAGCCATGATGTGCCATGGCAATACAGCCATGGGATTGTGAGGTAGACCCATGATGTCAGTGGGTCCTGGGGGATTCATGACCATTGAGGACCATGGTGACTGTCATCCCTTTATCAACACCTCAGCCAACCATCAGCCTTACCACCAAGTTACCCTGTGAGTCACTTGATTCATTTTAAACTCTCTTTTTAGAGTGGTAAGTAAGTTAAAATTTTCTTCTATGAAGCTTTACAGATTTCATTTTAGGATTCTTAACTGTTATAAAATATCTTCCCGCTAATTATCTTGATATCCTAGGAAAATTATCCTTACTGGCTACTCAAAAGTCATTTGTCTTTTAAAGCAACCAGTGTCTCAGCTTTTATTTGCCATAGATTTTAAGGTGAGATTTGTATTTAGAAATTTCTTTCCTTACTACTTTCCTAGATGTTCTCTACTAAATATTTGCTTATAAATTATTACACTTTAAAAAATGTGAAAATAAGACAATTGAACAAAATATGTTGGGCAAAAATGTATATAAAGTATAATCTTAATGTTGTAAGATATGCATGTGTATATCTACACCCACAGATTAAAAAAAAGTTTGTATGGATATATATCAAAAATTAATAGTTTTGTGTCTGAGATATTTCCTTCCTTGTGCCTTTGCAGTTCTAAGATACCCTGAATATACTCCCTTTATAACAAAAATGGCTAATGAAATAACATTAAAGATTGTTCAAGAAAAATAGTATTTCATATGATATACTTGCAAACCACTTAGGCTAAATATATCAATACTTTAAAAAATATATTTCTTATAACCTTTAAGTGAGCCAAAATTAATTTTTCCCATGTAGAGTGTTTTAATGAATTCCCACCATATTCTATCAAGAAATTTTTTTTCATTTGTGAATTCTTTATCAGCTTTAACCTCTATTTAAGAGGAAATTGGTCAATTATATATATAATTATATATATTAACTCCATTCCAAATTTGATTTTAAATCATACTAGTTTTTTTATACTACTCTTTCTTTCAGAACTGTCAATATTTTCTTGGTAATGTGTGAAGAAAGTTCACAGGCTGAGGTGCTAAATTAGGACTTTGTCACATATTGTTTACATTAATCTTGGTCGAGTTACTTTCTTTGCTGAGCCTGAGCTTGGTCCTAAGTTAACTGAGCCTAGCATAGCTTAGTATAATTTGGAGAATTAAACATTCAGTTATTGGAAATAACAAACATTTTTATTATTCTTGGTTATTCTTTAGTAGGTCTTGGCTTAACATATAAGTACAATAATATGACAGTGAAAACCTCCATATTTCTGGAGTTCATATAACTATTTTTAATACCTGTAACTGAACAAGGTGTAACTGGAAATGTAAAAGAATTAGAAAATAAATTTGAGGCTTGATGAGGGGGTTTTGGAGGAAACTACAAAGAAATCCATATCCTGCTTTCTACCTCAGGGTGAAGGTGGCACTTCTGTGGAGAGTGAGAGGCACCTGCTCAGAAGACAAGGACTGCCAGGAGCCTGGTCTGAACTACAAGGTGGGTGGTGGAGAACACGTTCAAGCAATGCCCCCTCTCTGTGTTTCAGCAGTGAGCACTGATCCCTCATTGGTAGCCTCCTCCCCGGCCTTACTCAACCAGGAAGACAGCAATAATTCTCTGAGCCCCTTTTCTACACCAGACACTTCTTTTCCACCAAGTACAAATATTTATTGAGGGCCATTTATGTGGTAGGCATTACCTGTGTGTACAAACTACTGTATTCTAAAATGCAACTAAAATTCTTTAAGCAACATTTCCCACAGGATGGCACTGTTCCCAGGGGCAAAGGATTCCTCTGATGGCTGATTTTGTTCTCTTTGTTCCATCTATCCTTTATTACCTCTTCCTCTTTTTCCTGCTTTTTTGGTATATTTTTATGGTTCTATTTTATTTTCTTTGTTATTTTAGTGTTTGGTCTTGGCTTAACATATAATTACAATCTATCGCATATACTTTTAAGTAGTGTTACATAATTTAATGTATACCATGAAAACATTACAGTACACTCCATCTGCCTCTTCCAAACCTTTGTATTATTTTTTCATGCGTTCTGCATTTTTGTATGCTAAAATCCTCATGCAACATTTTTGTTATATTATCAGCCAAATATTTTTCAAGCGTTTAAATACTAGGAAAATAATCTTATTTTTTCACCCATGCACTTACTACTTCTGGTATTTTTTATTCTCTTGAATGGGTCAATATTTCCAAATGGAATCATTGTCCTTCTACCTGAAAGATTTCTGTTAGCATTTCTTGCACTATGGGTCTCTCAGTCATGAATTCTCTCAGGTTTTCTGTGCCTGACAAATACTTTATTTTGCCATTGTTCTTGAAAGATAATTTCACTGCATATAGAATTCTAGGATTGTAGGTATGTTTTCCTTATGTATTTTAAATATGTCGCTATGTGTTTTCACTTGCATTGTTCAGGGAAAAAAATCTTTTCCTGTAATTAAAGAGTCTTGTTTGTCTCTGACAGTTTTTAGGATTTTTCTCTATTTTACTGGTTTTGAGCTATTTGAATATCTTGGGGTATATATATATAATAGTATTTTTCTTCATGTTACTCATGATTGGACTTTTTTAAGCATCTTGAGTTTGTGTGTTTATAGTTTTCATCAACCTGGAAAATTTGAGAACCATTATTTATTCATATAATTTTTCTCTCCTCACATCCTGCTCTCTAGGGACAAAGAAGGACCAGAAGTGAATCCCTCAACAGGACTAGGGTAACTTGATTAAGCTAGATTCCTGGTACAGAGAAAACATGATTAATATTTTAGTTAACCTGTGATGACAAGAATCTTATATAACTAAAAGCCCATATGTGTAGTGGTTCTAGCACAATTAACTTAGTATCTGTATAGTTTGACAAAATAATAAAACTCCATATTTCTTAGCTTCTATCCTTACTGGATAGTTTTCTTCTCAGCTCAATTTTCCTTTTTTTAACCAAAGCTGTGGTCATGGTTTCATGTACTATATCCAGACAAAAGGACATCCAATGGAAAATAAGGGACTGACCTGTATGAATTCTGTTATGAGGAAGGAAATCTTTCCTGGAAACACTCAGTCCTTAGATTGCATTTCTACTTAGTTCTTTCTGAACGTATAGACAGCAGTGATCTATTTGTGAAATTTAAAACAAATCTCCAACTTGTTCCATTCAGTAAAACATAAGTTTATTGTATGCTTTCATCCAATTTTAACTTTTGGTGGATGAGCAGGAATTCCTTTTATGGTTTCATACTTGGTTACTACCCTCTCTAATGTCTGATATTTAACTATGATACTAGTTATGTAAAAGAGTCCCCTAGATTCTGTTAGGTCCACAAACTCAGGGAAGGAAAAGATATGCATAATCCCTTCCTTTAAGGAGCTCCTAGTCAGTTAGGAAAAATTT